GTTAATTGACACTCAACACTGATCTAGTGTGAAGAGGACTTACTGATTGGTTCCCCGTCTGTCTTATAACCTGGCCAATTTGGTGACCTGTTCTCTTGGTCTGATGAAGCTTTTGTGTCAAAAGCGAAATGTTACCCAAATAAAAACTGCCAACTGTTTACCAAGCTCTTCTGAAAAGATAACCGGGAAGCTGTAAATACTGGCCGCTCCGCGAGTTCTTCCGGTGGTTAGAAATCCGTCGTTATGTAGTTTACCATTCGATTTGCACTCGGAATCAGCACAGAGGTTGTGGATAGAAGTGCGGATGCCCAAGGGGTCCAAAACGTCCCAGATCAGTATTGGTAACCTGTTCTTCACTGCTCGTTCATCTTATCAAGCCATTTTCCTAAAGTTGTCCGCTAACTTTGGCCTTAAAGGACCGTTCGTACAAACATAATCAACCTGCTTATGTGTTTGTTTGTGCTAGGTAAAACTGGGTCTGTAATGCACTCTCTAAGAAGCTCTAGATTCGTCACAAGTCGGTAGATAAAATCCGTTTCTTGGATGGGCACACTGGCGAATGACGAATCAGCTTCGATAAGAAATAACTTCCGGGAATTCGTCACGATGCTGTTCAAATTGTCCACCACTACGGAAGAATTTTTTAGGCAATCAGAAGACAAACTTTTGCGTTTAATCAACCAACGTTCAAATATTCTGGCAGATTAGATTATTCATACTGCTGGTTGGTCTTTAAGGGGCATCGTTCTCGGATATTCTGTGGGACTGTAGTCCCCATTGGTCCCAAGTGTCGACGGTCCATCTCTATGAAAAAATTTGCAGTCCCTATTGATTCGTTTCTCAACATTTTGTTTATTTCCTCGACCATCGTCCGTTTAAACTTCCGAGTACCAGAGGGGATAGCATTCATCTTAAGAAAACAACCAGCGAGAGTCTGCTCAGTGTTTTTATACTCTGATAGAGGCTCAATGTCGATTGACAGTGTCTGAAAACTCGCTCTGGGTGCAACATGAGTGTCACAAGGGATAACCAAATATCAAAACATTTTTCCTGACGGAACAAGCGTTTTCAGAATCTGAACAAAAAAGGGACGACGCCCTTGTGTCATATGTACACTTCGAGTTCGTGTGCGTTCGTTCTAACTGAGTCAGTTAACAGATGAGCATGTTAAAGGTACGAAAATGAACCTAATGGATCGCGTGGAAAGGACAGCATCGGAGAGTTGAAACTCCTCTTGTGGCATAGCAGCGTTGGATGGTTAGATATATATCGCTCAGCTGTAGCACCCTTTCGGTGCCTAACTGCCATGCCACCTCAGGGTTGCATGAGGACTGGGATACTACGAGGTTGCCCAAGCCTAAACAGGGGAAGTCGAGGGGCGGAGGTCGGGTTCGAACCACGGACATTCCGATCAGTAAATTCACGTTCTAACCACTTGGGCCATCTCGCCCTTTGCTTGAATCCAATGGCTGGTTACATGGGTCTAATGAATTACGCTGTTCGTTAAAACATGCCGAGCAGGTTTGTCAGACAATAAACTCCTGGCATCAGGATACGGTGACGTAACATGCGTCTGTTTGTTTCGTCTGATTTCAATGGATAGAAGCGTGACCTGAAACCTCCGTGTTGGTCGGTTGCAGAATCGCAGTAAAGCATTTGATAAAAACGAAGTTATTCTAAATTGAAGAGTTGTTTAACAGACAAAACAGAGGGATTGTTCTTTGATTATTCGTAGACTATTTACTGATAAAGCAAGTTTTGTGAATCAAGAATTTAAATTATCCACGATTTTAAAGTAACGCTTTCACCCTGTTGTACAGAGTAGTAGATAGTTGACCGAAAATCGATTGGGAGTAATCGATATCGGAAAAAACGAGGCCGTAAAACAACATCTTTGGTTGAACAGTGGTCTGAAGTTCAGATTTACGCCGAGTTAAGCTGAGCTCCACTCACCCCATAATAGAGATTTCACTGTAACACTGGCTCTTTAGCAATGCATAAATTCGGTCATCGTCGTTGGCTTGTTCGCTGAGCTGGGCAATCTGGTTGCAAACGTTTCACCATCAGTCGAGGTGACGTCGATTGGTGATGAAACGTTTGTAACCAAATTGCCCAGTTCAGCGAACAAGCCAACGACCATCTACGCTACCTGAGCTACCGACATTCTCCTCTATAGAAAATTCGGTCATCGTGAGCTTTGAACTTTTGACCTGCGAGAAAAAAATATCGTTTTTAGTGCCGTGTAGCTCTGGGAGAGTTTGATGTTTCTCACGTGGATTTTACGTCTGTATGCTTTCACCCAAGATCTCACACCTACCTCACGTGACCGGTTTTTCATGAATCCTGAATCCAAGCCTTTTGATTGGCTGATGTCAAACAGACTAGCCAGACCATCTGTGATGGAATGTGTGACCGACTAAGCCATTTATGTGTCCGGAAAGAGTGATATTTTGTTATCAGTTGATGCACGCAGTTGTCCACTGTTTCCACTAACGTCCACGAGGGCACGGTTTATTGCCACTCAGCTGGCAAATAGGTCGTGATGGGCGTTTCATGTTTAATGACTTTTTGAGCTACCTCATATTTGGTTACATTCTGTACCTTTGAGCCATAGTCCCTTTAAACTTCCGTATTCTATTGGTTCGATGGTTCTCCAGTCGAAAAAGTTGCACATGTCAACTGCGTTTGAAGGAATTTCCCCCTGCAGTGAATTTAATCTTTGCTAAAAAAAACACCCAGAAGTACTGTATTTCCCATGTACCAATTGATTTCGCGATACCCATAAGCTTTTTTCATGAAAACAAATTCGATCGCTAGAAATTCACGAGGTGTTTTTGATTTGATATTGTGTATTCGAAAGCAGGGACAACGGAGAAGTTCTGGATGTCTGCATTTGTGCCCTTGGACGATAGATGAACAAGAGTTAAAAGGTCGTGCACGATAAATTACTACTTCAAACAGGATTTAAATGTAATCAAGCCAGTTAGAAGTTCACAGGCAGACGGCTGACTTGCTTAATCGATCGACTTTGAAATTGACATATAGGTGTTGCTCTAAAAAAATTCAGTATGTACGATGGGAACACAATGAGTGATTTTTCCGGAAAGCCCTACTTTATTTAAATTTAAGTTGTCTTCCAATCAACGTGGTGTGCGTTGGATATGTCTAGGCGATTGGTTGACATCTGTGTTTTGATACTGAGGCAGATACCGTGTAATTCACTTATTTGTCTGCCTACAGTCGCCAAGAAAGTGGTAAGGTATATGAGGCTAATTCTGAGAGGGAGATTGGACTAATTCAAGTCGGTGTATCTCGCTCTAAACTTCCGGTGTTGTGTGACAGTTCGTTCAATGTAGCGCCTGTCAGGTTGGCACATTTGAATGGCAACCTCCGATGAACGGTTTGAGTCCGCTCTGGACTTAAATGAACCTTTCGGAATGATTTTTGAAAATCAATACCTTGCGCACAAGTTTCTGTCTGGTCGGCATTCTGAAAAGCAGGCCTGCGAAAAAATCTTTCCAAAGAATGAAAATTACGTGTGATGCTCCTTGAGTTGCTAGTTATAAGTCTTCACACCAAGAGTTCTGGGTAAAAATCTCTAGAAATGTCACCTCGACTCACCTATCAATACGCTTGTTCCACTTATCTCTACATCTCACTGTCTCGGCCAAACGGATTCGGTTAGTCACCGAAGTAGTTCCAGAATCTTTGGGCTACCGAATACAATACTACTGGTGTGAAATTACGCTCTGTTCATATCCACATCACTCTCGTTTGAACAGTCGTCCTCCTGTCCTGGCGTAGTTATTCTGGTTTGTGCACACAAGACGGGGGACCTGGCGTAGTTATTCTGGTTTGTGCACACCAGACGGGGAAGAAGTAACGGACTCGAGTTTCGCTCTTATTAGAACTCATCAGCAGTACATACTCAATGGCCATGCCTAGGTTCGAACTCCGGGCATCTTGTATGCGAGGAGAGTGTTGCCACTACTCCACAAGAGCACGTTGGACGCATCTGAACTTTCACGTCTGAACAATCGAACGTGTTCCAGCTTGAGCGACGTGATCGGTGTGTCCGACTCATCATAGAACGATGATCCAGTAACCGTCCTGATTGTGACGATCGCTTGACCCACCTGTCAGGACTTCCCAGTCAGGTGACCAGTCCAGTGCTTCTCCCTTACACCTGGACTCACCAGAATAATTACACCAGGACAGAAGGACGACTGACGACTGTTCAATAGATATACCGCAACACCCCTACAACAGAAACCGATTTACCTTTCTTACTTCAAGTGCCCTTTCTCGCATGCGACCTTACATTCTCTGATGAAACTACAACAGTCTCGATCAAGAAGGATTGTGTCTACTGGTAGGGCAAAGTGCACTAGTTTGGATGCTGTCCCTCATAACCGTGCTTGTTAAAGACTATTCGGTGTGTTTATTTCGCGAGTATTACTTCATCGACTTTACTTTAACCTGTCAACATATCTCTACTCTAAAATTCCCAGCTCTTTTCCGTGAACAACTGCATCGAAGATTGGCGGATAGCAACCAACTGCAAAAAAATTAGTTTCGTCCTTTTGGAAGTTATTCTTTGCATGATTCATCCACCACCAATCATATCAAACTATGACTGGCCTTTTCAAGATACTCTTCCTCTACCGAACGCTAACATTCCAGTACAACATAGTTACAACTCCGACCCAACAACGACTTTAAACTCTTCCACATTTGGAACGATTTTGACAACAGTTCCCACTCCGTGCCCACACCCTCCCCCCACGTACTCAGAACACATGCGGTTGGAACACGCTCTGTCCATACCCATGTTTTTTCGTCTGTTCCTCATCTTCCGTGTTCTCCTTTTGCACTCTTCATTTTTTACCGACGCTGGATCGCGAAGTATCGGGGCGCTGAACCGAGTCAAGATTAACGTTCGTTTTGTGTTGAAGACATTGGCCACCGCCCAACCCGGCACAATGTTGCTCATATTTATCATGTTTATGTGGATTATAACGAGCTGGATAATGCGAATATGTGAGAGGTAGGTCGACTTTAGTGTGTGTGTGTGTGTGTGTGCAATATCTCCCCAGTCAAAACCCTAACGGCGTTGCGCATCCATTCGCTTATCTAATGAAATTGAATGGCCACGTTCATCTTTTTTAGCTGAAGTTATATGGAATGAATGCTAACAGTAGATAGCGATCAGCGTATGAGCAAACCGTTAAGCTTTACCAAGTCAATAACACTCGGATTTTGTTTAGCTTTATTAAGTATGTGGTACCCAGCATGCAAAGAAAAATCGCTTCGAAAACAATCGCCGACAGCTAAAGTGGTGATAGTGTCGGATTCGGGAAGGCTCAACCAAAGAAGCTTTTCCGCCGTCAGGGGTGAGGGTAGACGGAACACGACATCTTGATTACCAGTTTCAGGTTCTTATTTCGAAGCCACAACTTTGGCAGTTGATTCATTTGATTGAAGGTGCATTTCTTGATCTAGTCATCTGAAAGGTTTCAATGTGGACAAACTGTTCGTGCTGACTAGCTTTTCGGGGCCCAGCCACCATTTTTTAAATTAAACTTCTGGTCACTCTCTGGTTTGGTAACCGTAGGACAACGTGTCTGATTGGACGAAACTTTCTGACGACTCCACAACAGACAGACGATTAATTAAGTTGGTCGACAATCAAACCTTAAATATATGAGGAATTCTTCCCACCTTTAAACGCCCTAAACAGAATTTCAGTAGTATCTTCCCCTATAATATCATCCGTAGCGGGTTGATAATGTAATATCCGCTTCCTTTCTATCCCAACATTCTTTCAAGTTTACTGTTATTCACAATTAAAGGCAGTATCCATAACTATTGCCAAATTTGTCCACGTGGAAGCAGGAAAGATCTGAAAGTGCCAAACAAAACTGAAAGATAACTTTACAACTAATAATTGAAAAAGGGCCCAACGTAACACAGAGTAGAACACACTACTTTTGGGCTGGAAAGAATTCCACGGCGGGTTGCCCAGCGAATTTATCTAGACCGGACGTCGTTCCACACCTCACACACGTTTTTGTCACGTGAACGTTTGATCGCTGTTTAAAACTTTATTGATCGTTGTCTCAAAATCAACGCCCTCGCCGAAGCCAAATGAAAGGTCCACCACTAACATTAACAGATATTCAATACATTAGGCAAACATTTGGACAAGCGCGATCAGGACCCCAGATGCTAACATAAGAAGCCTGGCGTTAGCTCAGTTGGGACAGTACTGATCCCGTAAGCAAGAGCGCATGTGCTCAGGTTTTGTCCACAGGCTTTTTTTATTTTCGTTTGTGCTAAATGCAGTTGGTAGATTTCCTTCTGAAGAACTAATCACTTACCGACTAAAATCAATGCAAGTTTTCTCGCCCCACATTTTATTTGCGTCTCGTGCTCCTTTCGATCGATAAACGGTCTGACCAATCAAGCCTCGGCAATAGATTTCCTTCTGAAGAACTAATCACTTACCGACTAAAATCAATGCAAGTTTTCTCGCCCCACATTTTATTTGCGTCTCGTGCTCCTTTCGATCGATAAACGGTCTGACCAATCATTTTAGCCTCGGCAAAATCGATAGGCAGAAAGAGCACACAGGATTGAGAACCGATCGGCTTACTGACTGTAGAATTCCAGTCAATCAGTTTGATTATTCATAAGGAAAAATTATTCGTTTGATTGAATTCGAATTTCTTGTAAACCGTTGCCGTGGACTAAAATTTCCGTTTGACATTTTCTTTTTGCGAATGATAGAAACATGTGCACAAGTTTTGTCCAACATGTAACATTTGGTAACTAGCGTCACGCATGCGAAGTCATCTATCTATCTGTTAAATGGCAGGTTTTCATGTACCGGAAATTAGCTAAGATGAATGACTAAAAATAGCGTAGATACTGAGTAAAAAAATGCAAGGTGTGTCTTAGCATCTTTTCGAGCAAAATGATTGCAAATCTGTGGAACTCCTTTAGGGAAAACATCTGCGTGATTTACATAGTATGAAAGTCCGGTTCGTATAAGCACCCTCACATAGGGTTTCTTTTGTCCTACTGTGAAATTTACGGCTACATCACAAAATACTTTGCTGCCTGAGAACTTACGTCACTAGGTTATGTATCTCTTTTTAATGAAGATACATGTCATTTAGACTGAATGTCAAGTCGCCTGTACTAATGAGGACCAGTTTGGCGAAACCCAGAGCAA